TATGTATATATAAATACACACACACACATATATATATATATATATATATATATATATACATGTACATATATTTATATACATACAGTATATACACATACATAAGTATATACATGCATACATATATTATATATATGTATAGCTATTAATTCAAACACACACGTAGATCACATCTCTATGCATTCACCTGTAGGGGTAACGTGTGCAATTGGTGGCGCTGGTGCGGTCATTGAACTGCGTTGAGACAGGGCCTCCATGCACGTGAGTGATCACTGGTGCGTTGGTGGGCATATCTGTTGTGTCACACACCCACCCACAAATCTTCAATCCATCGGATGCCGTCCACTCCACCACCTGCATCGCAGCAAACGCCAAAAGACAGGATCAGTAACCACAGACACAACACAATTAAATGCATCAAAGTCAACCACTGTACTACGATGCAGCAACCACCACAACAACCCACGCAAAGACAGGATCAGTAACCACAGACACAACACAGTCAACACCATCCAAGTCAGCCACTCTACTACGATGCAGCAACCACCACAACAACCCACGCAAGACAGGATCAGCAACCACAGACACAACACAGTCAACACCATCAAAGTCAGCCACTCTACTACGATGCAGCAACCACCACAACAACCCACGCAAAGACAGGATCAGTAACCACAGACACAACACAGTCAACAGCATCAAAGTCAACCACTGTACTACGATGCAGCAACCACCACATCAACCCACGCAAAGACAAGATCAGCAACCACAGACACAACACAGTCAACAGCATCAAAGTCAGCCACTCTACTACGATGCAGCAACCACCACCACAACCCACGCAAAGACAGGATCAGTAGCCACAAACACAACACAGTCAAAAGCTTCAAAGTAATCAACCACTACACACACCAATGTCAGCCAATGCAACCCACCTGCACCTGGTACGTGTCAAAGGCCTTGTGCGTGTCTACTGGGACGAGTGTGCCTCCCACATACACTGATGGATAGTCTGTGGTGCTCTGTGTAGCGTACGCGAATGTGCCGTCGGCGTTGGCACTCACAGGCGACGACGTGGCATGCTTGCGCACCTGAGCCTCTCCTCCTGTGCGAAGATTGTATTAGTAAAACCCTAAAACCCTAGAACATGTATGGAGTGTTTTAGAGCGGGTTGTGTGTCAGCAACATGTATGTAGTAGTTTGTAGTAGTAGTTTGTAGTAGTCGTTTGTAATAGTAGTTTGTAGTTTGTAGTAGTAGTTAGTAGCAGTAGTTTGTAGTAGTAGTATTGTGTAGTATTGTGTAGTAGTGTGTAGTAGTGTGTATTGTTAGTTTGTACTACTAGTGTGTAGTAGTGTGTATTGTTAGTTTGTACTACTAGTGTGTCGTAGTGTGTATTGTTAGTTTGTACTACTAGTGTGTAGTAATGTGTATTGTTAGTTTGTACTACTAGTGTGTAGTAGTGTGTATTGTTAGTTTGTACTACTAGTGTGTAGTAGTGTGTATTGTTAGTTTGTACTACTAGTGTGTAGTAATGTGTATTGTTAGTTTGTACTACTAGTGTGTAGTAGTGTGTATTGTTAGTTTGTACTACTAGTGTGTAGTAGTGTGTATTGTTAGTTTGTACTACTAGTGTGTAGTAGTAGTGTGTAGTAGTAGTTTTTTCAGGGTGCACCCACCTAAGTGGTCCATTAGATAGAGCACACGTGTGCCATTGTGCACTGCACTAACCCACAGCGAATGGTCATCCCCCGCACATCCAAAGTCTTCAATGGATTCCTGTGTTGTGGTGATCTCCTCGCCCTGACAAATAGGGTTTAGGGTTTTGGGTATCCTTATTTGTTTACACGCTATGGTTTTAGGGCTTTAAGTCGGGATGGCAATAGTACGCGCACACGCTGCTACAGCTACGCACTACCAAAGTACAATTGCAACATTGCCCTAACACTACGCATAGGCAAATGCTGTGTGGGCCATAATCCATACATATTCAGCAAAATGAGGTCACCGACTTAGGGTTTAGGGTTTTTTAAGGTTCCACTCAGGCTTGTCAAAAAATTAGGGAACTATGAAAATTAATTACTTGCGTCATAATATATATCATCGAATGTAGCAGAGTATTTGGGAACGATTAATTATGAGGGGCTCTGTCTGGGGGAGTACATACATACATACATACACACACGTATATATATATA